CGGGCACCCGCGGGAGCCTCCCGGGGGCTGTGCGGGCGGCCGCCCCGCAGCCGGGCACGTCCACGTGTGCCCCGCTCCGGAAGCCGGGGTGACGGCTGGTTTGAAGACAACATCGCGGTCATTAGCTCCTTTTAATAACTGAGCGGGAGCTGGGTGTGTGTGCGTGTGAGTAAGGACTATGAGGAGGAAATGGGACGGGAGCCCTCGGTAGTTGGAGCCCGTGCAGTCAGAGTACAGGCCGGAGCGGAACACATTAAAAGGCGTTTGTCAAAGGTGTGGAGGGGATGACATTACTTCAGCCTCCAGCCTCCTCCCCTTGCCTTTTATGTAATAAACTCATCCATTTTTCTTTACAGTAAACTATTTGACATTGTGTATATGGTTTCTTTTTTTAAATAAATCTGTCTCTACATGTGATGTTGTTGCTACTCAAGTTATCACCCAGGAAACTTGCTGTATAGTTCCGATCATCCGTTTGTGCTAAACTTTGGCAGGCCAGCCCATTTATTTGGAGGACATTTTCATAAAATGTACCAAATGTGAACAGTTGTAAGTTTTGTTGGAGTCTTGGATAAAAACGAAAAATACCCTGTTCAGCAAGAACACATTTGATTTCAAGTATAGTTAAGCAAACAGCTTTCCTATCATACTAATTCAATTTTTCACTATGAAAGTGAGAGATTTGAACTCCAGACTTTTCAAGCAGTTGGATTAACTCGCTTTCAAAATAAGTTTTAGTGTGTGGGTGTTATCAGATCAGACTTCTGGTGTTCTGATCATACCTGTATATATGTAGTAAAAGTTACCATCTCACCTTCTTCCTAAGAAGTTATTTTGCCTGTTACCAGTTTTCTCATCTCAAGAGACCTTTTAATTTATTCAGACATTGTTTAGAATAAGAGGAATAAAAATGCTTATTTTAACATACTTTTGTCTACTTTCAATTGATTAAAGACTTCGAATGTTTTTTAAAAAAAGAAGAAAATAAGGGGTTAGCACAGAACAGTTCAGTACTGGTGGAATGATAGCATCAAGGCAGTGTTTGAAGGTGATTCAGGTGCTTCTCTCCCTTTAGTAACAGAATGTAAGAGTTGACCTTATCTTTGTGCTTAGTTTAGCTACATATTGAGTCCTACCTATTGTGCCTGAATCTTGCAATCTGCCAAAATCTTAGAACAACTATAGTGTTTTCACCTTACAAGGTGAAATAAGGTGCTTAGATTCAGAGCTTGGGAATATGTTTGCAGCAGATTTGGAGCAGTAGTGTTTTTATAAGTGTTTTGGGGCTAGATGTATAGAGGAGCCTGTATTTTGTTTTAAACTTACTCCAGTTTTTCGTCTAAAAGTTTTTCACCTGTGGCAAACTTACATCTGGCACCTATTTAGAAGCACTTGTTTAAAATAGCAACAATGTAACTTAAGTGACATTTTTGTGATTAAATTTTTGCAACAATTTTAGAATTTGATATTCTTAGAAAATACCTGAAAAGAATTTGTGCTGAGGATAAATGGTTATTCCTACAGTAACATGAGCTCCCAAACTGCCAGCATTTTCTTGGCTTAGCTTAATTCTTACCTGCATCTCTGGCTGTTTATTAAACAGCTAGTAACAACCGGCTAGGGTTTGAAAAGGACTTTGAAGGTGTGTATGACATTACCAGCTGTCTGTAAAGTAGGGATCTCAAAGCTCTTCCAAAATCTAATTAAACCTGATGACATGCTTGTGAGGTATGCACACATTTTATAGTTGTGACTTTTCTGGATTTGAGTCATTGTCCAGACTAAAATCAAGGCAATCTTGTTTAATCACCAAACTGGAAATATTTATGAGTAATCCAAAACTGCACTTTTTTCTTCTGAATTTTCGAGTATGCTTGTTTCCACAGATTTGTTATTTCGCAGCTATTCCTGTGTGTATTTAGCACAAATGTAGCATTAAGTATTTATTCATTTTGGAGTTGCTAAAGTTGACTGTCCAGCTTGTTCACGACTAAAATGGGAACTGGTGACTCATTCAATAAAAGCTTGAGCGGAATCAGCAAAAGTATAGCATGGGGTAGGTGTGTCCCTTTGGTAACAAGTTAACCATTGAGTGGAACTGTCTCCTGCAAACCAGTGCACAGCCTTTTATGGGAAAAAGCTGGAATCCACTGAAAGTAAGCCAATTTTGGTAGCTGTAAACAGTGACTGGGTAGCTTATGCTTACTTTCAAAGGAGATGTATTCTAGCAATGTTTTAAAATATGTTGTGGAGTGATAAAGTAGTTGGTTAAGCAGAAATCCTTGTTGCTTCTACTTCCATGCCACAGAGGAGATGAGAGCAGCTGAGACTTCCCGTGAAATCCTTGTCTTTGTGGAGCAGTTGCATCAGCCCAAGATACAAGCTCACAATTAATTCAGAGGGATGATATTTGTAAGGGCTACTGTGGACCCTCTCTGTGTCAGATGTTTGGGAAACGTGTCCTGGAACACACATTTTTCAGATGTTGGGATTATTCTAGAATCAATTAGCATGAATGAGAAAAGCCTCTTTTGTAGTAAAAGCAAGCCCTGTTACTACTTCTGGAAGTAATGAACTGCTTATCACCAATGCTTTTGCTGTAATAATTTTAATGACTTCTAGGGTAACACCAAAATTTTTTGATGTTCCCACAGTAGCATCTGAGAGATCCACAGTTCATACTGTTTGGCCATCAGCTTTTGATAATTTAAGTTTTTTCATGCTTATCGTTTCTCACTATCAGAAACGCAGGCTTCAGCTTTGTATCAGCTGTTTGCGTGCTGCTGTCACGTGTTAGGGTAAGAGTGTTAATAGAATAGCCTTTCAATTGTGCTTTTTTAAAGGAAAATGACTGATAGATGTGTGCCTAATTAACTTTTACAAATATCTTGAATATTACATCATCTTCACCTTCACTTGTAATCTGAAAACACAACAAGAAAGGAGATGTGCGATCTACCAGCTGGATAGATTTGGTAACTTTTTATTTGGCCATGGTACCCAGTAACATAACTAAAGATAAAAGAAGAACTTAAAGAACAAAAACATTCAGTAAGCTTTTAGAGTGGGATTTTGTAGCTATGGCTGTTTTTCAGTTCTCTTCCCGAGAAGAGAAACACGGCTACTGGTTTTAAACTAGTACTAAACTGATTGTTGGCTTGCCATTAATATGTTGCTACTATGCCATCTAAATGATTGTGGGATTTTTTTTGTAACCAGACAGAAAATAATCATTCTCCCTCTACTATATTAATTGAAAAAGCGTTATCTTTCTAAGTGTTTGCAGCAGGAAAATGCATTTTGAAATGTCTTCCGGTGTTAAAGGACTCGTGGATTACAAAAAGCTTTTTCACAGAAGTGATATAGCAGTAGGATGAGAAAAAAGTTATGTTGTGAATTAAGTTTTAAAAGGTTCATATTTTTAAATGAAATTCGGTCTTGTTAACTAAATTCAGTCTTGTTAACATTATATTGCTTTGCTATATGCAGGCTGCAGTAAATGATTTAGTACCAATTGGTGTGACTTCACATATTTTGGGGGACTTTTTTCAATATCCTTCAAGTTATGCCAGATAGAAAAATGGAAATGAGTTAGTATAGGAGATCATAAAACATATGTCATAATTTGGACCCATCGCTATTTTTTTACTTAAATGACTTGTTGGCTTAAAACATCACAGCTGTGTCTTGTTTCTTTGAAAGGATATATCATGAAAACTGTGGATGCTTTGGCACTTCCATATCTAAAAACACTGAGCTCTTGAATTCAGGCATTGAAAAGTTGGTCATGGAGCTCTACTGGAAAAAGTACTCCATGGGAGTTTTTTTTTTAAAAAAAAAAAAAAAAAGAAAGAAAAAAGAAAAAACACTGCCCACTAAAGGCTTATATTACTTCAGTTTGCTCTGATAATGCTTGTACTTTATTGAGCACTTACTGATATATCTCAATGTGCTTTTAATGGATATTTCAGATTTTCAAAATTAAGTGTTGGCTTTTTTTTAAACTATCTCTGAATTTTGTTTCAGCTGGAAGTAAATCATAGGTTTTTTTTCCCACTAAAGAATTGTGAGGAACAGCTTTAGGATCCACTCTTGTACTGCACCGAGCAAAGTAGTTTTGTCAGTTTATGGGTACCTGTTGTTTAGGAGCTGTGCCTAGTGCAGGCATGAGTTATACCTGTAAAAGCCTGTAATTAATGTGTGTGTAATTAATGTGAAGGGAAGGAAGAGAGAGGGCAGCTGCTTTTTACAAATGTTAAAGATCTTTCCTGATGTGGACAGGTCATAGTTGCCATCAGTTGATACATTGCTTCTCCTTTCATCATTGACAGCTTTTCATAGTGAGTGGGTCTCTAACCTTTAGGCTGCTGGGATGTCTGCCGTTTATCCAGCTGATTGGTACACCTTTCTTCCTTTTTTGTTAAATTGTGGATTTCTTTGAAGAATTGTTGTTTTTACTTTGATAGAGGACTTTCTTTTGGAAGTTTGGGTTTTATTTTGTTGGTGATGCTGGACTTTAGCTTAGGTTTTATGAAGAATTGCGCTTCAGGTGCTATTTTTGTGCTTATTGAAGTAACTTCAGTATTTTGATGAATTTCATGATGTTTTTTTCCAGCTGAACGAGCTTTGGATACCATGAACTTTGATGTCATTAAAGGCAAACCAGTCCGCATCATGTGGTCTCAGCGCGATCCATCTCTACGCAAAAGTGGTGTAGGAAACATCTTCATCAAAAACTTGGACAAGTCAATTGATAACAAAGCTTTGTATGACACATTTTCTGCTTTTGGAAACATTCTGTCTTGTAAGGTCAGTGGAAAATTATTAGCATCTTTAATGGTTTAACAGGAAAAAAAAAAAAATCTTAATTATACCGCAGACATTTCATAGCTGTTACAACAGGATTTTTCTTTAATAGGTGGTGTGTGATGAAAATGGATCCAAGGGTTATGGATTCGTGCATTTTGAGACACAAGAAGCTGCAGAAAGAGCTATTGAAAAAATGAATGGTATGCTGCTTAATGACCGCAAAGTGTAAGTACATAAATACATAGTTTGGGATCAACAGACTAAAATTCATTTTACAAACACATTCTTAAAGCTTATCCAGAAAAGACAGATTGTTCTGAACATTTGCAGTTTTAAAGAGGATTTAGAATTTTAGTACTAGGAGTACTCTAAAAATGACTTTTTAGGTATTTAAAAATCAGAGTGAATTCAAACCATGCTACTAATGGCATCTAAGAAAAAGAAAGGAAGGTTTATTAGTTATATCTTAGTTATATAGCAAGTAAATATTGTAATGAGTGTGAGGGCTTAACTTGGTGGTCTTGTGGCTATCCCTGCTTTGCTAATCTTACTGCTCTGAGATAAAATCCTTCAGGTGTTCTGAACAGTATTTCCTTTATAGGAATTGTCTTGTTAGGTACAGTAATCACCATTTCTTGTTGAAATATAAAGCTGTAAAGGTATTTTTGTATAGGAGTCTGATTACACTAGATGTCTTTTAATCAGTGTCTTAATAAACACATATTTAGGGAGTGGGAGTAGAACACATAAACTGCAAGGAGTTTTGCTGGTATAACTGTTCTAGTCTCCAGAAAAGGAAAGGCTTCTCAGCTATGCTTAAGGAATTGTTATGATATTTTGTTCAGTTGCAAAAGAACAGCTCTTGCAAGTATTTGGAAAAAGGAGGACAGAAAACGTCATGAATGATACCATAACTTATTAATTTTATATGTCGAGATGGATGAATCAAGCCATCTCCAAGGAGAACATATGTTTTGAAACTTAAGCTTTCCTGCTTGATTTTTGTTCAGCTGATTGGGGATGTTCACTTAACTTTCATCTTTTTAAAGTACTATGAAGTAGTAAAAAGGTCAACATATTACCATCGTGTAAAATCGCAACATTTATGTAAATGTCTGATAAAACACATTATAAGAGTTAATGCTGTATGAGATCCTGTTCAGACCTGGCATTTAAAGTAGATTACAGTACTTCGCACACTTTCAAAATCTGCTGAATTCTGGTAGTACTGATTGTACAATCATTTTCACCATCCTTGACTACTATAAATCAGTCACAAAATGTAAGGAAATCTTGAGTTTACTGTGTTCTTCATTAGATCTCCTAGAATTGGAACTATAAATTTGGACAGTTCAATAAAATTGCTGAGTAAAAGTCTACAGTATTACACATGCAACTGCAACCTCTGTTCTGGAGTGGGTTCTTGAGTCTGAGTGTTGTGTTTGGCTGCTGTTCCTTCTCTGACAGAATCAGTGGCCTTTAGTGCTTCTAGCCAATTCACAAATGGTATTTGACTAAAGAGACAGTTGAAGGGTGTTGGAATGGAGGGGAAAGGGGTGAGTAGGGCAAATACCCCTTGCTTACCATTAGAGAATGGTAATGGATTTAGGCCTGACAAACCTCAGTATTAGCACAAAAGCTGTGCTGGTGTCTGGAATTTCAGTTTAGCCTCTTTACTTAGGACTCTTCCCCAGTGTGGTAGCTCTTGATGTCAAAGCAGCTATTTTAGGTTTATAAGAATGAGCAATCTTGCCAATGGCTCAAAAGCCTATTTGTGCTAGTAATTGCAATAAGCACGCTGATATTGAAAACGGATAGTAAAATTGTTTTTCTGATGGAGCTTTATCTTGACTATTTTATCTGAAGAATTTCATGCCTATGATGATCAATGAGACTGATATAGAATAACATTATGATGCCAAAGGATTAAAATAAAACTTTACATCTCAACAGACTTGCTTTAATGTACATTGTTCTCCTGTAACTAGATTTGTTGGAAGGTTTAAATCCCGCAAGGAACGCGAGGCAGAGCTTGGAGCCAGAGCAAAAGAATTTACCAATGTTTACATCAAGAATTTTGGAGAAGACATGGATGATGAAAGACTTAAGGAACTCTTTGGCAAGTTTGGTAATGTCTTAAAGTTTAAGTTTATATAAATAGCAGTAAAGCTCGGATTATTTGTGTCTGCACAGCGTTTCATATGAGTGATCAAGCAGCTGTATGAAGGAGATACAAAAAATATGTATTGAAATGCTAGCACTTGATTCCAATTTCTAATTCAAAAATTGAAATAGTATCCACTGAATTTCAAATAACCTGAATAGTACCTGTAATCCACCAATCAGAATTGCTTCTGATAATCTGACATTAAAGTATCTATTTAAATAATATTTTAAATAGAATTTACACATTAAAGTTTTTTGTTTTAAGATTTTTCTGCTTTAATACAGATGTTTTACCACATTCTGCAATGAATTAATGTTTCTTGCTGCTTTGTCACTGTTTTGCAACCTTCTCTTTATTCATGTATCTCAGCCTTTATCATTCAGGTGAATTTTCCTTCTTACAAGATTATAAGATTTTTGTCATTAGCAAATCATTAATTCTATCTTGATCCTTGGTTATGCAAGAAGGCAAAATATGGTAGCCATATGGTCATGATATAGTAACATATATATTGTGTCACTCTTGAAATAAGAAACGTGAAACTTTTTCATTGAATTATTATTCTCCTGCAGACTTATTTGTATCTTCAGCCTCATGACTTTCATTTCTTGTGTTTTTTTTTCACTCCATACTTTAGCTGTTTTTCATTGGGTGTCATTTAGAGAAAAGATTGTTGTAGATGTCTTTTATAGCAACTCTTAATACCTGTGCCCTAAGCAGTATTCATAGGAAATGCTGAATTTAGCTGCTAATATTTGTCTGAAGTGAATCCGAATTGTGATTTTTTTCAAGAGTTTCAGAACTGTTAAGCTAGGGTGGACTTTCACATGGATACATGGTGGCAAAGCACAGCCATGAACTCAAGGTCTTCTGTCTGGTTTCAGTGCCTCTTTCAAAGGAGAAGTGTAAATACTTTTTTAATGAGAAAAATAGAATAAAATGAAATTTCTGCAGATTTTTCAATGAAAATACAATAAGAAATTCATCATGGTAGATTTCAGCCCAAGCAGCTAGTGTTCAGCATCATAGTGGGAAAATCAGCAATTTTGTATTAACGTGTGGTGTTTACTAGACTATTGCTTATGTTGGCATATGAAGAGAGTACACTCTGCACATGCAGCCTAAGTTTTTACATTCTTTTTCCAGGTCCTGCCTTAAGTGTGAAAGTTATGACCGATGAGAGTGGAAAATCCAAAGGCTTTGGCTTCGTTAGTTTTGAAAGACATGAAGATGCCCAGAAAGTAAGCGCTTGGAGTTCGTTTTAGGATGTTTGTAACTGTGACCTGAATAATTAGCCTCTTCTGAGTCATTTGAAGTCCTGAAAATTCATTAAGGGTTTTTTAATTGATGGAGGACATTGAGGAAACAAATCTGCTGCTTAGTTGACTTAGCATGCTTTCTGTCATTTGGTTTGAGAAGCCTATTCAGATACTCTTAAAACAGCTTGAATTAGTGTAGAAATGAGGAATCCTGAATAACTTAAGAACCCGTTGTAGTCGTGTTTGAAGGTCTCGCAGAGATCTGGACGTATGCTGAGCAATATACATAGTGAATTACAACATCTCTGCAAAACCCAGGTGAATAATTGAATGCAATTTGGTTGCACAAAGCATTTGTGCCAGTGCAGGCAGGAAGAACTGTGTTTTCTGACTTCAACCCT